TTTGTGAGGCATGATAATTTTATCAAGGAATGGGAAGCAGTCGGCAGAATTCTAATGAAGGGATACATATCAGCTTCCTATTTCCCTATGTTCTTATCAAAGGCTTTTATGTGCTATTGCTTGTTTGATGCTGAGGTTCCAGACAGTGTTCTTCTTGAGTCATTCCGGCATAACGTATCTGTCACCAGTGGAAGAAGAGTTAATGAGAGAATATCTGCAGAAAGATTGTTTCCCAGAGGAAAATGAAGAGCTGCTTGAATTCTTGGAAAGATTCAATTGTAGAACAACAGTTGCTCCACAGAATCTTAGGAAAGTTCTCATAGAAATTGCTAATCAAGAACTAATCCAAAAGCCTCATGTCATGATTTCCACTTGGCAGCCTGGTGTCCAAGAGCTAAAGCAGCATCCTCATTTTCAGAGTGTTTCAGGTATTCAAGGCCTATATGATACATTAAACCCAACAAACAAGAAAGTTCTATAAAATTTAGTTGCACAGCCAAACACAGATGCAGAACGCGATGCTCGGAAATTTCTGCAACGTTATATAAGGTTTAGACAGCGGAAAGCTTATTCAATTCCTAAGAGTCACAACTGCATTAGGCGTCTTGATTACCAACAAGCTTGAAGTTACTTTCACTAAATTTGAAGGCGCTGCTTGTAGGCCCATTGTTCACACATGTGGACCTCTCTTGGAACTGCCTTCTACTTATTCTAATTTTGTTGAGCTCGGAGAGCAGTTCAACAACATTTTGGAAAAGGAAATGTAGGAAATGGACATAATGTGACTTACAAAGGAATAAACTGTATAGTTTGCATGATAGTCAGGTAAATGGTATACTGTGTTTTTTCATTTGAAAATTGTAACAACAGTTTGATTTGTATGCTTTGTTTTGTCATTTTTGTTACCAAGTAATCTAAAAAAGTATGAAAGTCAAAGTTTGTCATTTTTCTTTTAAATCGGAATATAGTGTATGCTTCAGTACATACACCATGCAACATACCTCAGATTACAACCCTTCTCAAGTATCTTTTCATTGTTTCGCTGTTATAATTTCATCATTCATTTTTTTCAAGCAAGTTACAAAATTTGTAGGAAAAATTAAGGTTACATTGTACTTGACACTTTAGGCAACTGGTCTCCTTCAGACCTTTTATCATGATCAGCCCACAGTGATAATGGAACCTTACCTCTGTAGTTCAAAAGCCTTTTTTTATGTAGCCAAAGTTGATAGAAGAGCTGATGATGTTATAATTCTTTTTATTCTCCCTAAGGCCAAAATTTGTGGGTATACCAGATGGTTTGCTTTTCCAACCTGTTATCAAAGTCTGGATGAGGCGCTCTTGGTGAAAAATTCAAATTGAGTTTTTTCATTTATTATATCAAAGAGATGTTGCCATACAACTATATCTGAATATGTGTATATATAGATATGCATGTGCACATACATACATATATATATATATATATATGCTACCACAGCATTGAGCACTTTATGCCAAGGTAGACTCTACCCCCACATTTATATACAGCTATTTCAATTTACGTTGTCGGATCAAAGCCTCAAGCCTACAAGACAAGACCGAAGGGGAATATGGGATCTTAATGAATAATTATCTGTTCTTGTTGCTCTTTGTTAAGACGCGCAAGGCAATACTAATTGTATTTTCAGCCTCCATGTCCATCTCGTGCCGACAACCCCGAAAGCCTAAAATTAATTCTAATCTACCCATACCGCCTTTCGGTCTTGTCCCGTACCCTTGAAGCTTTGATCCGACAACGTAAATTGAAATAGCTGTATATAAATGTGGGGGTAGAGTCTACCTTGGCATAAAGTGCTCAATGCTGTGGTAGCAGAGCTGGGTATATATAAGTGAAAGAATCAAAGAGGACGCATCGATTCTCCGTTACTCTGAGTTTCGCGCCTAAGCGCTCGTCAGACAGATCTTTATTCAATGAAGAACATACCTCGTTAAATACAAATTAGATGAGCAGCTAATTAATTCACTAGTGTGATGATCTGATCTACGTGTGAAATAAAGATTCTATAGAGCTATTGTTGGCGGCTTGTGAAATTTGCTAAGTAAAACTTATTCTCGTGGCGGCACTTAGAAATGAGTTCTGTTCTTTTCTTTAATAAAGACGGCGCTCAGTGTAGGTTAATTCTTCGTCGTGTCTACTTTGTTTAAGTGCACTTTCGAAGTGTGGTTTGGCTTTGTTGAAGAGTTCTTTGCTTGAGGAAATGTCGGAGATTCGTCGGCCGATGGCTGCTGGTAGGTGTTTTATTATTGTAGGCGGATGGTTGGAATTGGTGTCGATGTAGAGAGTTTCGTTGTTGGGCTTTCTGTATGGATAGTGGGTTCCGTCCGTAAGGTTTAGGGTGACGTCGAGGAAGTTGCAGATTTTTTGGTTCGTGCTTATAGAAATGTTCAGTCCTTGCTTCTTAAATTCTCGTGTGATGTCCTTTCTAGTCCGTTGCGATTGTGGTCCGCTTGCGTTTCTTAGAAGTACCAGCCCGTTGTCTCTGTAGAGTCCCACATTGTTTTTGCCGTATTTCTCGCTGAGGTTGTTCAGGAGGAAAAGTCCGATAAGCTCACAAACTTCCGCTCCGTCGAAGCTGCCCATAGTTACGTCGAACATGCTGCTGTGGTTTTTCTTGGTCCAGGCGGTCTCGTTGTAAAGTAAAAGTGATTTCCGGCAGTGCATAATTATGTCGATTTCTTTGTTGCTGATTGTGGTGTAATTCTTGGCAAATGAAATTGCTTTAGAGGGAAGAGATTCTGTGATGGATGGGTAGAACCTGTCGATGTCGAACGAGAATTGCATCTGATGTGTTTTTCCACCGGTTGAGCTTAGTCATTTTTCTGATTTTCGAGTTGATATTGTCGAGAATTTGTTTACTGACTTTTCCGAGTTCGCGTTTGCGGGATTTATGAGGCGGCATCATGAAGTAGGGTGGTTGGCGAAGTTATCTTTATGGTCTTTTAGGGTAATAAAAGCTTGTTGTTTTGCGATTTGTTCTGTGCGGTTGTCGATGTTGAGCTCTTGGGCGATAGATTTTGCTTGTGAGTCGATGTCGGTGCTAGTCGGTGCTATATGTATATTCATATTCAGAGTATATATATACACTTATACAAATATTTAGTATAAAAAATGTAGAAAAAGTTATGTAAACATGTAATCAGAAGAGATACCTCAAGTTTTTATCTTCCTAAAATGCATGCAATTTTCCAGGTTGTCTTAAATTGTTGTGTTTTCCATTCATCTCTGGAAGTGAGTGGGGATCAGTATAAAATCTCCTTACAACATCAACACAATGCAAGCAAACAGGCAATGAGCAAAGACAATCCTATCAATCAGATGATTTATCTTGATACAAACCAAATTCTTCAAAACAATTCACAAAGAAGCAGATAACAGCTGGAAAGGAGAATAGCAAATTTAATATTGGGAGTTATAGGTTTAAGATGACATAGTTAAAACATCCTGGGCCACCATTTCAATCAGCATGGGATGACCTAAGGAACGTATGAAGTGCCTGAATCACACTATTTTCAGTCCCATCATCCGATCTTATCTTCCGGGGTACACCACCTAACTGTTTCACCGTATCTAGGTAGAACTTGGTAATCACTTCTGATTCTTATTTGTGGGGCCTGCTCCCAGCCAGAGAAGCCTTCGAGAGAACCCATCAACACAGCCATGTACGCTGAACCCGAATGGCTTTAATTTATCGTGGCCATCAATATGCCAAATGAAATTTGGCCCCTTTGTAAGATATGCACGACGACCTTCATACAATGCACGACCTTTTCTTTCGCCTTGTTTCTATACCGTCGGGATTAAGTTCCTTCAGAGAAGTCGTTACTCTTGCTCTTTTGACTATAATTCCCCTCTTCCTTATCCTTGCCTACATCTTGCGGTATCCCACAAAACAACCACTTTTACCAAGTTCCTTCTCAATGGCACTTCTCAGTTCATCACCAGAGATGTTAGTTTTTCTTAATAATCCTAAAAAGGGTAAGCCTTCACTTCAGAGTTCAAAAACTAATGCTCACCCCATGGAGCTTAAGAAACTCAAGTATTTCCAGATTACTGTAGCCTTGCCTGAAATATTGTGATATGAGCTCCAGATAATCTTCAGCGGATCCGTCATTTACTCTTATACATGGCGTATATATTGGCAAAGGCATCTCTTCACTTCGTGAAACAGGTAGGACAAACTGGTAGTGATAAAATTCCCGCCAAAAGCCAGCTTTCACAGCGCGTGAGCATGCGTATAGCGGTTGCGTCTCAATGTAGAGAGCTGGTAACTAAATTAAAAATTAAAACTGACTGTGTAAAAATAAAACTGGACCTTGAGAAAAATAAAACTGGACTGTGAGAAAAATAAAACTGGACTGTGAAAAAATAAAACCGGACTGTGAAAAAAATAAAACTGCACTGTGAAAAAAATAAAACTGCACTGTGAAAAAAAATTAAACTGGACTGTGAAAAAAATAAAACTGCACTGTGAGAAGAATAAAACCGGACTGTGAAAAAAATAAAACTGGACTGTAAAAAAAATAAAACTGGACTGTGAAAAAAAATAAAACTGGACTGTAAAAAAAAATACAACTGAACTGTGAAAAAAATACAACTGGACTGTGAGAAGAATAAAACTGGACTGTAAAAAAAATACAACTGAACTGTGAAAAAAATAAAACTGGACTGTGAAAAAAATAAAACTGAACTATGAAAAAAATAAAACTGGACTGTGAAAAAAATACAACTCGACTGTTAAAAAATACAACTGGACTGTGAAAAAAATAAAACTGGACTGTGAAAAAATAAAACGGGACTGTGAAAAATAAAACTGGACTGTAATCAGTCCCGGGTATATTCAGGGACAGCAAAATCAGTAAAACCGTCGTCTAGCGAGGGTTACTCAGAAGGCGATGACAAGTACCAGGCGTGTTATCAGTACGTCGATGTTCCCGCTTGCTAGGGTTACGCCATAACTATGGAAAGCAAGAAAGCCAAATACAAACAGATCAATGCCAAATATGAGCAAATCAAAGCAAAGTACAAGCAAATAAAAGCCAAGTACGAGCAAATAAAAGCCAAACATGAGCAGGTAAATACCAAATTTGAACAAATCTCCAGACCTGCCAACCAGACATGTGAGTGCGACACTTAAGCAATAATTCACCAGCATGCCAAAGATAAAACCAAATTTAACGACAAGGAAACTCTGCTGAAAATGCCAACTGATAATTCAGTTGAATATCGTGGTTCACTAAGTCGTGAAATTATGAAAAGCAGAATGTCAAAGATCACAGTTGACGTTTGTACATGTACACGGAGGTTGCATCGAAGAAGGAAACGTGAAAGAGAACCCTCCAGAATTCCAGATAAGAGAGTCATCAAACTGTTCAGAAAAACAAAGGTTTTTCGAAATGCAGCTAAATCATACGTTAAAAAAAGCATTCCGAGTTCATCTAAACAAAAACTTTTGCTGTCTGAGCGTAATCATAGTTATTTCAGTGAACGGTTAATCAGATCTAAATTAGTATTACCCTCAAAAAAAGTTCCCTCTCAACCAAAATATGTACCTATCTGTTGTGCGACTGAGAACGTTAAAGCATAACAAGTCGCCCTTGATGGGAGAACATTAAAGAAATTAAAACACTGTCCGGTCGAAACTTATTGTGTATCTCACACAGTCATCTCTCTGAGTGGCGATGTTAAAGAGAATCCAGAGTCATCAAATCAATGCAGTGCGACCAATACTTGTAATTTAGTAGCATACCGCTCCTCAAGTGCTAATTCAGTTTCATTATTGGAAACTAGGTTCTCTCAATTAAATAGAACTGCAGTTGATGTTGGGGGAGTTGGTGACTGCTTTTTTCGAGCTGTTTCACATCAGCTTTATGACAATCCTAATAAACATTCTCATATACGTAGCCTTGGTGTCCAGTATTTACTGCAGAACTCTGAACAGTCCATAGAGAGTAACACTGATCATTCTTGGCAAGACTATTTGAACAATATGTCATATCAGGGAACATGGGCTGATGCAATTATAATGATTTGATTTGTATGATAGCGGAATCTTCCCTAGAAGTGGTGATGAGGAGGAATTTGTTATAAAGGGGATGTCGGACTCTTTGAATGAAAAACAGAGACAATTTTTTTATCATGTGTTACATTTAATAAAAACTAGGGATGACTCTCTAAGATTGTTCTAGAGTGGAGGGCTGGACTTGGCCAAAGTACAGTCACCAATGCATTGTATGAAGCATTAATAAGATATCTGAAAAAGTTGTAAAAGCAGCTCTTACTGGTAAAGCAGCTTTTAATATTAAAGGCAATACATTACATTCTGCTTTTAAGATACCTGCCAATAGAGGTTTTGAGTATTGTGCACTGGACAGCGACAGACTAAATACCATTAGGGCACGACTGAAGAAACTTAAGACAATTTTTAGTGATGAGATATCTATGGTAAGAAGTGGCATGTTTAACTGTTTGAATGCAAGACTACAACGAATAATGGGAACAAAAGAGCTATTGGTTGGAATTAGTTTAATAACTGTTGGAGATCTTTTCCAGTTAAAACCAGTTTTTGATAAGTGGATCTTTGAAAATTCTGCGATAGGCTTCAGTACTTTGGCAAGAAACATTTAGGCAGAGAATTTCGCCCTCTTTGAATTGACGGAAATGATGAGACATTTATTTACTACAAATGCATTAGTAGTTTTATCTCTAAAACAGATAAAGCTCAGATAAAGGCTGTGGACATCGTAGTTAGGGATATTAATGATGATCTGAAACAACAAATGAAAAACAAAATCCCAGAAGATCCTACAAAGACAATGGGTTTATATTCACTTGTGTCTGTGGCAACTATGGCAAAATATGACTTGACAACTAATATTAATGTGACTGATGGACTCACTAATGGTGCAGAATGTATGATAGAGAACATAGACCACAGAGTAGAAAATTCCACTAGACCAAGTATTATTTGGGTATCATTTCCACATCCCAAAATAGGCAAAAAGCTGCGCAGAGAATATGCACATTTGTATAAGAGAAGCATAAATAAAAACTGGACACCAGTTTTAGAACTTACAAAACAATTCCGGATTAATAAAAAAAGTCAAGTGCAAGTTCTTCGACGGCAATTTCCTCTTAGACCTGCTGCTGCCAAGACTGTTCATCGTTGTCAAGCTGATTCATTAGATGAAGCAGTTGTTGACTTTCCAGCATCCACAAGGGAGCATATGCATTATGTTGGGTTAAGCCAAGTAAGAAACAGTTCTGCACTACATGTTCTCAATTTGAATGAAAAAAAAATCAAGGTTAGTGAGAAAGTTAAAGATTAAATGAGGAGACTGAGAACAGAAGCAAGTCTTCTGCCATTAGCAGTATTACAGACTGCAGATTCACCCAAAACAAAAAAAACCTTATTTCAAAATGTCAGATCTCTCCACCTCTACATAGATGATTTCCGAAGTGATTACAATATTCAAAAGGCTGATGTCAACATTTTTTTTGAAACAAAACTTTGCTTGTTAGATAGAGATGATGTGTATCGGCTTAGGGGATTTACACTTTAAAGAGATGACTCTAATCACTCCCGTATCAGAACTTGTTACGAAACAGCTGTGTATGTTAAGAACGATTTGAACTGCTCTTACTTACCATACAGATTCAACATTAATAATGTTGAAATTACTATTATGGTTTTAAGCCAACTAATTCCAAATATTCATGTTATTGGTATCTACTGCTCCAAACCTAAGGTACCAATAACTCTGCATAACTCGGTGTTAACAGACCCCACAATTCCCAATATACTGCTTGGAGATTTCAATGTTAATCTAATGGAGGTCTGCAAAACAAAAGGCTCTCAAAAAATCTCTGATAACAGACAGAGGATACACACGGTTGATTAAGCAGTACACTACTGACTATCGTACACAGATAGATCACATTTATACAAATGTACCACAGCTTATTCAATCTGCAGGTACCTTGGAGTCATACTACAGTGATTGTTTCCTTACTAACTGTTCACAAGTGACTTAAAAGAGTAACATCATTGAAAGTATGTCCTGAAAAATACATTTGGCCTATTTTTTCTAGAATTTGTTGTTCACAATGATCAGTCTTAGTCATAGCCACCATTGTTTGTTTTTGGTTTTTATCACATCTTTGAATTTTTCTACCTGTCTAAGAACAGCAAAATATTTCTTGAAATAAGGTTTTCCTCAATTTGGAACCAAGTTTGTATATCAGAAAATGACTACAAATCTCATTATACATGGGCTGCTGTAAACGTAGTGTCCAATTTTCTAGCTACTAGATACAAAGAAACATTGCATAGTTTATATAAGAAAAACACACTTGGTATGTGCCTGACATCCCCCTCCAAAACAGAGTGATCAACCTGATATAGAGGTGGGTAACTTCTTTGATTATAATGTCTGATTATGTCGATGTCTAATAATGGTGTGGGTGGGCCAACAGCTTTACTAAAAACAATTGTTGCTAACTCTTGTTATATCTTCCTATAAAATTGCAGATCATTAAGAGCTTATATCACATACATTGGCAACTGGACTATGGAGACTACTAATACACTATAAGAAGTGGAATAATATACAGTCATGTAGTTGCTTGCACGTGGTAATTGACAGAGATGTACAGCACTGCAGCTGACTATATTCATTCTGGATTTAGTACCAGTTACTGTATCTGAAGCCTCAAATAAATGAGCAGCGGGAAAAATGCAAGCACAGTATCACTGGAGTTCATGCAGTTTATAACACAAATTAAAAAGAAAGAATTACATATATTATATTATGTTTGTTGGAACTATTGCCGTCTACTTCACTGAAAACAACGATGTGGTCTTGAGAACTTAACATCAAATATTGAATTCAGCAGCTTCCATCCATTCATTGGTTATATTCATACTAGCATCATGAACTACTATCATGCCAGTAACAACAACGTTTTGTACAATAGTTGAATCGTAAACTGCACACTTTCAACTATTAGGACTCTGTGATTGCCTTCCTCAGAATTATTTGCGAAATGAAGTGGCTCTTTAAGGCTTTGAATGAAGTACTGATACTGGTAAGTGCCAGTTTTATCTTACCATAGTCATAATTACCACAACAAACCAGTTGATGCAAAACCACCATAAATGCAATCAAGTTACTGCCAGACTGCTGGATGATCAAGGATTTGAGGAGAACATTTGATACTTTTAGTTAGCTTAAGTTCGACTGATTTCATAGTTTGACCCTCCTTCATAGTAAATCTACTAGTTATTCCTTGTAAACCAATTTAATGCATAATGGCTTGAGTTGCCATTGGTAAACAACCAGTTTTACTGGCAGACATATTTTCAAAAACCCGAGTAAAAATATATATCTCATATTTATCTGTGCCATTTCCTTGATTACACTCAAATCTGGGTGAGTCACTTGCGGCTGATTATAATCTATACTGTGTATAGATCTCCTCCTCCTTCACAGTGCAAATCTCACAAGCTCATAAAGGTGCATTGATCTTTTGGGAAATATTTGGAAGTCCTTTAAAACAGTTTGAAATTTCCACTAAGGAGCCAGAAGTCTTTGGCTGATCGGAAGTCCTTGAAAAACAAATTATCACAAACTTTCGCCACCCTTAACTAACTGTTGGAGGGGACTCCCTTGTGAAAAGATTGGGGATGTTTTCTCACTTAACAAGGGTGCAAATCTCACTTAGGGTGCCTCTAATTTTAGTCATCAGTACCTTTTGGGGTTGCACAAAAAAAATTAATATTTAAAGAGAAATGCTGGCATAATAGTTAATGTTAAAGTTATATTTCTTTTGAGTCAAACAAAGTTTAAGCTACAGCCAGATTGGTCTCATTAAGAGTTAAATTCAAATACCCAACCTTTTCACCCAGTACCCCCACCCAGGTTATGTGCAACATTGGCGTTACTGTAAGTCATTTTCTGCTACCATGGAACATTACTTCCCAGTGCAGCCCTCACACTCCCTTATCAAGAGCTTACCCGTGCACACAAGCAAGGGTGTAGCTATGGGGGTCCTGCGGTTCCCATGACCCCCCTCCCCCTTTCATGAGCCTTTTTTAGGCAAACAACCTACAAGAGGTGTGGAGGTCGACATCACAATCTAGTGACACAGAGTGACCTGACTCCGCCTCTGAAAAGTTCCTTACCTCACCTCTGCCACAGTCATGTTACACACCAAAGTAATCAGCCAAAATATTTTTCAATCTCAGAATGTATTCTAATAATAAACCTTGGGATATCAAGTTTTCTTAAAATAGGCCTCTTTGGCTTAATATTGCCCCATGCCATTAAGCATCAAGTGCTTAAATTTGCTCCACTATTTACAGACACCTGAGGAAACATTATTTATTATTACAGATTTCCTAACAAATTCAGTGCAAAAAGTAAAGTGACACCAGAAAAACTCAGAGACTTCACAGCGAACTGTTGTTTTCATTGTAACTTCGTTTATAATTTCATACACCAAGACTCCTTATTCATAAAGGGTGAATTGTAAAATCTGACTGATCTCTTAATTTAACAAAACCATTACATAGGAAATCCAAGCATAATGTAACAGTCTGAATGGAAACCAGAAACTGACACTGGAATCAATAAAAATGACCAGGTCTTTTAAATATTTTAACTTTTAAACTTCGCTTGCTGTTGTTTCTTGTCATTTCTGCGACATTTTAATAAGATTTGGCCGATTTTAAGTTATTGATTGTAGCATAAAAAACCTGAAATCGCTTAGATCTCGTTTAAACTCTGTACAACAAAACTTAACAAGAAATAAGTATTAAATGCTTTATATTAAAAAGGAAAGTAATAAATATTCTAATCACTGAATTTACATTAGTTTATTTCGTTTCAGTTCCTAATCTCTATACAAACTCCAACATTGCACTTGAATCTCCCGTGAGCTAATATAGATTACAACAGCAGAAAAATCCATGTAAAAAATTCAATCGATCAATCCCTCACAACATGAGACTTCCAGGAAGTATCAAAACAAATGGAACTGACAAATGAAAGCCTGCGTGACACCCTATGTTTATTTTTAAACTCCGAGTCCTCAATAAAGAAACAATTTTACTTTCTTTTGCTGCATTTTAGTGCATATTGGAGCGGCTTAAACCTGCATTTGACCATACCACCAAAGCACCGTCAAAATTTGGCATAAATTTCTTTCCTTTTCACTGTTTCATTTCGTGTAGTTGTACGAAAACGAAGACCCCGAAAACGAATACCTAAAACCCCCTTCGAAAACGAAGACTCATTACGAGAACGAAGACCCCCCTTACGAAAACGAAGACTCATTACGAAAACGAAGACCCATCATGGAAACGAAGACACATTATTAAAAAAAGTTCAAAAGAGGTTGGTATTACCTTTGCGGACAAAGATTATGTTCATGAGACACACTACGGAAACGAAGATCCTTACGGAAATCTTGAATTCTGAATTTGGCACGTCTGTAATTTATTACGGAATATTTCAACACTAGAGCCCCATGGAACCCTCAATGGGACTACATGACAGGACGGAAAATGCGTGCACTGTAAGTACCTCCCGTTGTCCCATACAAAGCCTTAGAAAACTTTTCTAAGGCTTTGTATGGGACAACGGGAGGTACTTACAGTGCACGCGTTTTCCGTCCTGTCATGCTTAAAGCTAAAGTGAGATTTAATTGAAGAGACATGACATGCATATGGTGGTATATAATGCCACGCTATTATGGTTTTTAGTTCAAAAACTGTGTTCAGCTACCTTAAGTATCAGTAAACACATGCATGTATTCAATATTGAGTTGGCAATGCATTATATGGCAATTTCAAATATGGCTGCTTTTAGCTGTTTTGTGACCGAAGAGAGACTTTGTTGCCATGTTTTGATTCATATTTCTCACGATAAAAGCAAAAAAAGACCAAGTTAACTGTTGTTTTCAGTTTAATTTTTTGTGTGACTGATTTTACGACCGTTTTCATGAGAAACATCTCAGCGGGTCAGAATAACCGCGAGTCAGAAAAAATCTCAAATTTACTCAGTGGCATTGCCCCCGAACATGTCCACGATGACCAGCGATGGTCGTACAGGCTTGTTAATAGGAATTTTTATGCCGGTGGAACAAAGCTACGATCAGGAATTGTTTGTAATTATTTCATACTTACTGAGATTTTCGGATAGAATCGATCGCATGAAAAACTTATATGGAAATTTCTTCATCCAATCTCAATCGCGAAACGACTTTCTCACACGTGGAAAAAACGTTTCATCCAGTCAGAAATCATCTGTCAAAATAATCAGTCAGT